ACATCTCAATCAAAAGATGAGCTGTTAACAACTCTATTCCTGCTCCATACAATAAGTCTCCAGATCATAGTCTCTGGAAGTCAAACTAGAAAAGGATGAAGAAATAGTTACGTATTCCATAGACTTCCTGCCAAGTCTTTTTATTTTTTATTTTGCAAGCTTCAAGAAACATCTTATTCTTCTGCTGATAGAAATGTATAGTTTAACTCGATAAACTTTTCATTTGATGAAGATTATCTTGCCCACTAACCTATCTTTCATATGCTTTGCTTTGAATTGTAGCCATTATTAACATTCACCCAACACTCCATATTTTCTTTGTTCTTTTCTCTTTTTAATGCCAAGTGTTTGCATTCTCTCGCCAACGTGCTGGCAAAAACATATAAATGTCTAAGCCATAGGCCTTCGCTGCCCTGGGGTATAATTAAAGGAGCTTAACATATTAAGCACACATTTGAGTCATGGACGCCGGCACAATAATGGAGAACTCCTATGCCAATTTCGGCAGAAACATTTCAAAGGAGCAAAGGCATTCAAAACCTCCAGAAAAGATGGAATTGACAAGCCAGCTCAATCTCAACTTTACAAATGCTTCTGGGCCCACTCCAGTTAGTACAGACAATAGCTTTTTAGAGCTTGATTGTGCTGGCTGTCAAAAAAAAAAAAAGAGCAACTATGACCTCTTAAACTCAATGTGGATGGCTGTACTTCTGTTTTAAAACTGCAATAGGACAGTCTATTGTTTTTAGTTCCAAGACAGGACACAACACTGAGAATAAAGCATCCAGGCATTTTTCCAAGTAAACATTTATGAGCAGCTCATCTTGACAGCTTTATAGAAATTGCTGAAAGTCACATTGTTGGCTACCTTCAAATAAGGCAAGATCCCTCAGAATCCTATGGGCGCGAATACAGAGCGAAAGAGAGAAATTTGCAAAGCAAGGTGAGAAATTGTAAACAGGGCCTTACAAAACATTATCCAATTCCTAGTTGATTCCGGATCTCCTTACTTTCCGCCGCGCCCTCAAGACATGGCTTTTCCAGCAAGCGGGCCTGACCTAGGGAGGATTTTAGGTAGGGATTTTAGGTGGGGACGTTTTTAAAAAGTAATTTTAATGGGAACACAGCAATCAATATTTGGCTTTTAATTAGGTTTTAGTGGGGTTATTTTGTGTATTTTTGTATGATTTNAAAAGAGTTCTCAGGGAGAGTGCTAACAACCAGATAACTGCAAAGAAATACAATCTTCCACTCCCTCCCTCCCCCTCCCCTTTCAGAACTAATCTTTCTATCGCACCCACCATTCCCCTAGAACCGAAGAAGCTTCTTGAATGAAGCTTCCTCAAAGGAAAAAAAAAACACACACAGTCAAGTTGCCTTTTGAAAAAGCACTTGTGGGTCAACTATGACCTGGATGAATGAGGAGTTCCACAGACTCTAAGGCGGAACGGTCTGTGGCTTGATTGGGGAGAGTTCTTAAGGACTGCAATAACTTTACTACCGTTTGATGCAAGTGAAAATAGCTCTGTTGTCCTAATAATATTTTATTTTTTCTAATTTCTTCTATTGAATGGGAGAAAATCTCCTTTAAAAATAAGGGGGGGGGAAAGCATTGAAATGTGTAGGAGTTAAGTTGGCTTCCTTACTGAATAAGTGCATGAGGTTGAGTGTGTGTCTTTTTTCACTCTTTTTCATTTTGCACACACCCCTTCAAAAGCCTTATTAGGTTCTGGCATGCATTTCAACAAAATTCCAAAGAAAGAAATCAGAAGGAAATCTATCTCACTGGGCAGTCAGAGTGAACTATGGAAAAATATATACCACCAACTATTGTCTTCTCCATTACAGTATGTCATTTGATCAAGTACACCGAAAAGCATTGTAAAGAATTTCAAAAGAAAATACTCAAGCACTCTGAACAAAACGTATAAAAACAGAAATTTCTTTTACTAGGGGGAAAGAAAAACCTTTTTAGAAAACTGTTTAGAAAACTCATACAGACTTCACTGTGGCATTATAAAATGATAGCAAAATAAACATGGGTTTCTTTTAAGCAGTAGGAAAAATTACTTCAAATGGTTACTTCATGGAAATGGTTAGATGGACAGATGTTTTTTATTCGAGCTAGTAAAGTTAATGGACTCAAATCTAATAGTGGTTTGGGCTTCCTTGTCTATCCACTGAATCATTTCTTTTATAAGGGAAAAAAATCACGTTGGCACACACACACAAACCCAAAATTACAGTGATCTTGACTGCTATCGGAAGAAAGTAAGTCTCAAATACAATGTGCTGTGTCAGTGTTACCCATAACAAGCTA